TGGGTGTTTATTACTCTCCAAGCAGAGGTTTGGGTTTTGGCCCGTTTATAGGCTTTTTATGTCGGGCTTTCTTTTTTGGACTGGAATCTTTTTTACGCCAACCAAAAAAAAAAAAAAGAAAGAAAAGAAAAAAAAAAGATTCCAGAGCATAAAAGAAATCTCGATAAAAAAAAGCCTAAAACACGCCTAAATCATGCCCCAAACCCAAACCTCTGCTTGGAGAGTAGGTCTTTATAACGGTTAGAGTTACTAGTATACGCGGCTTGATATCATATTTTGACAAACGTCATGGCAAGGTATACGTAGCAGATTACAGAGCAAAATGGCTGTGGCTATCACAAACATAGCTGACAAAGGTCATTATTTCATTCTTATAAGTAAAATCTGGATTTGTTTACAGTCACTGACGTAGCGAGCGGTGTTAGTAGCCGTGCGGTCATTCACCTACGCGTAGCTACCCGCCCTCCCACCGTTATAGATAATAGCATGTGCATATTCAAGGACGCACGGAATTGTACTGGTATTGGAAAACTGTTTGCGCCTCTCGCGCATCTCAAAGTCAGAGCGTGCGTTTTCAAGGCCATTACATACGTAGGTCTATACAGGCAGCGGCGAAGCACAGTGTGGGAGTTGAAAATTGCCTATGTGATTTGCGTAGGGCTATAGATCTATGAACACATAGACGTTTTGGTGATTCTCTCACCATATTTAGTTTACGGAATTTTTTTTACACCCCTTGCTTTTTTGCACCCATTTACTATGATGTGAATCTTGAACCAGTGGCTAGAGAGACGTAAAAATGCTAGCCTCTACCAGGCTTCGGGAGGCGGCTGGAAAGAGTAGAAATATTTGCATGGCAAAATAGAGAGATAACATGCCGGGGGAGTTGCTCCGCTTTAAGTGTACAGTTCGGGAGCGGCAAACTGTACTCTTCTAGCGGACCAACTCCCCCGGCACTTTATCTCTCTGTATTTGGCCAATTTCTACCCTTTCCAGCCGCCTCCCGAATTAAAATGAAGCCTGGTAGAGGCCACAAAATGCGGGCCCAAACAGACGTAAATTACTGAGCTCGATCCGAACCCTACATCTGCTTGGTCCATGCACCCACAGTCGTGCTGAAATAAATATTCTAATTCAATTAAACGTCTCATATAAACAATGACGCAAGTAGACAAATTAAATGCGTAAATGGCTCTTACAAAACATCGCCCTACTTAGAAACAGTCGAATATTCCACGCATTTCTTTGTATAATTTAGGGATGAGAAACATTGCTTTCCCTGGCACAGTATTGCACCCTTCTGATATTCTAATGTAATCATATACATCTGATTCGCTCCGACACATGTTTTCAGCCACACGTTGCCATGACGATCGTACTTAGCGTCGCTAAAAATAGCAACCGTTTTGTGTTCAGAGATCACGACGCTAGTGGTAAAGCAATCAGCTCCAGAAATAGCCTATTTCCCGCAAACGTTTTGTACTCCTGCCAGAAATTGACTACGTGTACAGTACTTGTAATTCAAACCTGAAATGGTGTCAGACCGGCACCCTATATGCAAGTGTAAGGTTTATATTTAGCTCTCTATAGATAGTGTTGTTACATAATCATAGCGTTACTACTTTGAAGTTCAAGGATACATATTGTGCTGCCACTATTTTGGGTTACTAGTATTCTGGTTGCAGTCATGGTGTCTCGTCGCATTTTTTCTTCGTTGTGTACTTGTCTATAGCTAGTAAATGAGAGAGATGACAGCATATATATGTATTTCTATTATCAATGTTATCAACCCTTGTAATATACATATAGTAATTTAATAAGGTAGGTTTCCAACTACTTATCCAATCAGAAGGAATTACGAAGTATAAGTGGTAATTGTTATTAATTATAGAGTAACTTGGACCACCAGAGTGCTATCATATCGTATCATGAGACGAAAGGATGCCTAGTAGACATGGTAGAAACGCCACGAATCTTTCTTTTCATTGGAAGAAGCCATTTCCTCAGATCATTCAGCGATAGACCTGCGCTCGTAGCGGTATCAACGCCATCTAGTGATTGTTTTATGAAACGCAGTTATGATGTCATAAACATTGCACAACAGGGACGTGAAATTACACCATAAAGTGTGCGCAATAACAGTCTTTCTACTGAACTATGCTGTCGGGGTGAGCCGTGGCCTAGCGGGCTTCTCCTCTGAGCCGAAAGCAGATCGGAACTACCCACGTCTGTTCACGGGTTCGAATCCCGTGGACTGTGGGTGCCTGCTAGGCTAACTCGACACTCATCCTTTTGCCATCGCAGTTTTTTTTTCATCATGACGTTGCCATGGATGATATTTTTACTTTGGAATTTTCTTTTTTTTTGATAGATAACTTTTATCTATTTCTTCACAATTAGTAATAAAGAGATAGAAATGAAGAAATAAAATAGCAATCATATTGAAAGTTAAATCATTAACTGCTGTACGATAATTTGGGTAAAGATCTTCTTTATCACCTGTATAAGATTTTATTTTGGCTGGCGCAGTTCAGTTTGATGGTGCTGTATTGAATCAAACCACGTGTCAAAAGCGACATCTGGCGGACAAAGTGTGTACGTCAGCTTTGTACCCGAGGTATTGCACAAGCAGGGGAATTGTTGCGTGTAGTGGCTGGTAAATAATAAAAGCAGTATTGCAACATGTATTTATCGGGTGAGCCGTGGCCTAGCGGGCTTCTCCTCTGAGCCGAAAGCAGATCGGAACTACCCACGTCTGTTCACGGGTTCGATTCCCGTGGACTGTGGGTGCCTGCTAGGCTAACTCGACACTCATCCTTTTGCCATCGGATTTTTTTCCATACCTTGGTGATCGGCATTTACTTTGGATTTTTCATTGCTTTTTTAAAAAATCGATAACGTTTATCTATTTCTTCATAAAGAGACAGAAAAGAAGACATAAAATGGCGACCGTATATTGTCATTTAAATCATTTGACTGCTGTACAATAATCTGATTGAAGATCTTCTTTAGCACCCCAAGAAAAGCATCAGCATAACGTCTGAAACATGGACTGTATAAGACTTTATTTTATTTTGGCTGACGCAGTTCAGTTTGATGGTGCTGTAATAAATCAAACCACATGTCAAAAGCGACACTTGGCGTACAAGGTGTGTACGACAGCTTTGTACCCGAGGTATTGCACAAGCAGGAGAATTGTTGCGTGTAGTGGCTGGTCAATAATAAAAGCAGTATTACAGCATGTGTTTATCGGGTGAGCCGTGGCCTAGCGGGCCCTAGCGGGCCTTTCCTCTGAGCCGAAAGCAGATCGGAACTACCCACGTCTGTTCACGGGTTCGAATCCCGTGGACTGTGGGTGCCTGCTAGGCTAACTCGACACTCATCCTTTTGCAATTGGAGTTTTTTTCATGTCGTTGCCATGGATGATCGGCGTTTACTTTGGACTTTTCATTATTTTTTCACGTCGACAACTTTTACCTATTTCTACATAAAGTGATAGAAATGAAGAGATAAAACAGCGACCATATTGTCAGTAAAATAATTTGACTGCTGTACAATAATCTGATTGAAGATATTCTTTGGCACTCCAAGAAAAGCGTCAACATTACATTTTAAACATGGACTGAATAAGATTTTATTTTGGCTGACGCATTCATTGGTGCAGGAATGAATCAAACACATGTCAGAAGCGACATCTGGCGGGCAAAGTGTGTACGTCAACTTAGTACCCGAGGTATTGCACAAGCATAAGGATTGTTGCGTGTAGTGGCCGGTCAATAATAAGAGCAGTATTACAGTATGTGATTATCGGGTGAGCCGTGGCCTAGCGGGCTTCTCCTCTGAGCCAAAAGCAGATTCGGAACTACCCACGCCTGTTCACGGGTTCGATTCCCGTGGACTGTGGGTGCCTGCTAGGCTAACTCGACACTCATCCTTTTGCCTCTTTTTTTGTTTTTTTTTTTATCCCGAGGTGTGATAGAAATCCCGTCATCTTAAAACTGTGTTACGTATGTCATGATGTAGTTTATTTTGGATATGTTTGTATTTAATGTTAAAGTTAACGTTAACGTTAACGTTAGGTCAAAATGTACTACCTTCGATAAGTTTTAAAACAGTTTTGTCTAATTTGGACGTTCATGAAAACTAAATGTATCGATATCAGACAACTAAGCTGCAAGGTTCTGACGATTCTTCAAAGAGGAAGTCATCAGTCTTTAATTGCGCCCAAATCAGAAAGAATCGCTTGATTATGACGCGACGATATGTATTAGTCTAATTTACTGCAGTTTCTTATCGGCCGCTAGTCGGCGCTTCCGATAGGCCGCTGACATTTGGACTATCAATCATTTCCCAGACGTCCTTGCAACAAAGATGGAGAGAGTAGACTAGTTCGGAAGATTGTGGAATTTTGTGAAATATTTCCGAAATTCTTCAACACGCTTCGACTAGAAGACATCGGTAGGTACATTCTCTCTTTTTCTTACTATTGCGTCCGCCCTCACCGCCGATTGCCATGTTTTAGCTCGGTGGCACAGAGGGAACATTCGACGCGAAAAGTATTTTCGTCCGCTCCGAAGTGGGGAGGGGGGCAGTGATCAAAACATTACCTAACTTGGATCAGGCACCCTTATAATATCGGCCGTTTCATCTGTGTTTGATAGTTGACACAACATGAATTGATAACCGCATATGGTGTAGCGAGGTAGAAAATAAAGATTTGGCGTAAACATTTGAATTTTTATAGAGAATAGAATGAGTGAAGGAATGAAGGAACAAAGGAATGAATGAATCATATGACCACTTTCCCTGCACTGAGAAACATGATCAAGTCACATTCTCAAACTCCGAAGGACTTCCCAAATCTCTTATTTATATCGAGATGACCTCTTCCATATATGGGCATTCACCTGTCACCCATGTTGGGTGCAGACAGCCTGAAGCAGTTTGATTGACATTGTTACCATGGAAACAAACCACAGGGGGCGGGGCTAGGACAGCTGACGGGGAAGCGCCATTCCTCATGTGGAATCCCAAAATAGGAATCTTCTGATTTTTCACACCAGGACGACACTGGGTCATTCCGTCTGTAGCCAAGGATTGGTTTAGTTTTTGTTAGGACAAACTGGACAAGGAAAAAAACAGGGTAGGAAAAAATCTTCATACTCATGGATATTTAACATTTTCAATGGTAATGTACATTTCTGAATACAGTATGCAAGATTTCTGAATTGTATGGATATATCATGCTTTAAAAACATGCCCAAACATGCCCAATGATGCCTTGCATTAAACAAGGGTAGCTGTCAATATTTGTACATGTATGCACTTCATATGTTTGTCCAGGAAACACAGACAGGATAATGTGCAAAACTTCTACCTCAGATTTTAAAGTGATATTATGTAAGATGCTTGGCCCAAAACTGTAAATATAAGTAATGAAAATTTTCTCATCTAGATTGTCATTTTCAACTTTCAACAATTTAGCGTCACTATTTCACTTTTCCAGTGCGGCGCAACGACGTTGATCTTTTACTCCCCAAATGTCATTATGAACCCTGCAGATAGGCTTAAGTTATAGCACAAGAAAATGTGTAAAACAATGATGTTTATAATATTGAAAATCTTACATAATATCACTTTAAGAAACATAACTCTGTTTTCCCCAGACGATGCCCAACACCATGATGACATGGCCGCCAGCGGAGGTGGACCTGTGGCTCTCCCTCCCCGACAGTATCCTCCTCCACGTCTTCTCCTTCTTAAACTCTAAGGAAGTCGCCAAGGCGGGAATCACCTCCAAGAAATGGCACCGCGTCTCGCAAGACGACCTCCTGTGGAAGGACCTGCTGTACTCGGAGTTCTCCGTGTCCAGAACGATCCCCATGGCGCCGCTCAAAACGTCGTGGCGGTCAGAGTTCCGTAGACTACATTTCTTATCGCCGGTGGCTCTGACAGAGACGCTGAAGGAACACACAGACCAGGTCTTACATGTCAGCTTCTCACATAATGGCAAAATGTTCGCTTCAAGCTCCAAGGACGGTTTTATTAAGGTAAGCCATTGTTTTTCCCCAACTGAAAAATACAGTTGATGTGCATTTGCGATAAGTAATTGGTTACGTAGCTGTCTTACTGTTATGGCTCCTTTGTTTTTGAAAAATGGAAGAGAGACTGAATAGATAATTTTTTTCAGTGAGTGAGTGTAATAATAAATGGACTCGAAGCTTAATTGCTGGCTCAATGCTTTAAAATCAAAGATTTTACAATGTCTATAAACCTTGCTCTCTTAGCACGTCCAGTTTGGCTCAAGCACAATGGTCTGACCTTGGGAAAACAGATGCTGTTTCCGTCCTATTCATGTCCTTTTAACCTGTAACCTTGGAGCGGCCTTTGGCTTTGTTTTGAGACAATTAAGTAAGGCGACTAAGGCCACAGTAAATTTTTATGGATGACATCCTCTGTGGACTCATTCAAAGTCTTAATGTAAGAGCAAAAACAACAACAACAAAATGCCTAGAACATAGAGGCCATAAATGCTGTAAGTTAACAATTATCAAAGTGAAAAACATGGTATATATCACAACTAGCAAGTCTTTTATTCCTTTTTCCTATTCCTCAAAGAAGTGCATAAATGGACATTACTGTGGTAGTCTTAAGTTTCATTACAAAGGCTACCTCACTAATGTCACTTATAAAAGTACACAAACGTTGAGTTCTTTGTTATGTGGTACAGGTATGGACAGTGTCCTGGCCATGTCAGGTGAAGTACAGTGCAGACATGAAGAAACACAAGTGGAAGTACACCCAGTTCTCCCAGTTCAACAGTCTGGACACCCTCCTGCTGGTGTCAGGGGTTCACTTCGGTCCTCACAGCACGTCTGGAGAGATCGCTGTCTTCTCTTTACAAGGTAGATTCCTTTTTATGTCATACCTGGGCCGCGATAACGCTTGATATGTGTGTCCCGGCCCATGCGATAACTAGCGGTACAGCCAGGCGTTCTATTTGGTTATTAGTATCACGTGGGCTCCCAAGTGTTCCATAGAATAATTGAAATGCATTTCGCCTGAGCCACGTGCGACTTAAAAGTCTGACATATCGCTATCTTTGCTTCACTTTTAAGTATTTATTTGTGGTCACCTGAATGTTTATATGATGTGTTTGGGTCAGACGAGTTCATGTTGCGAGTTCATGTTGCAAGCGCAAACATTTTTGGCTTTTGATTCAGCTTACAAATTACTACATACATGTAGTACTACATTAAAAATGACATGGCTTATTGCCCTGAAATCACTTTGAATGACTTCAGAAGTCTAACACATGGCTATCCCTGCCTCTAAGTATATATTGAATGTTGATATGTTGTTTGTTCTGTCAGATGAGTTCATGTTACAAGCGCGTGTGTTGAACAAGCCGTACGACATTTTCGGCACGTGGTTGGACGACTCGTACCTGCTGTCAGGAAACCTGCACTGGCTGGGAGACTCCACATGTTCCGTCCTGTGGCTCAACAAGGCCACGCAGGAGGTCGACTCAGAACAGGTACGTAGCTCCTGTCTTCTAATCTCCACCAGACTAACAACAATGTCGTTCAGTGTAATATAGCCAGCTGCCACCCTGCTGCATGCCTGTTACGTGAAGGGCGGTTATGCCGGCTATACAGATACATAACAACGACAAGGGTTCAAAAACAGTAAAATTTAGCCAAATAGGAGGAATAATTGGCCAAGGGAGTAGAGTTCATTTGCCAGTGTGCAAGGGGGAAATGAAACCTTAGCTGTGGACCCACTCCTCTGGCCAGGTGGGCCCTATTTCCTTAAGAATTTTCTCCAAATCCCCTTAGTAAGAGGCCTGGTGGAGGCTACCCGTGTTCTGTTTCATACAGGCTTAACAAGTAGAGAATGAAGTTCGAAACAAATACACAAATGTAGAAATTAAAGGAGTTTTTTTTGGTGCTGCTTCTTGTAACACAACCATGTCATTCTCCCCAGGTGTCCGTTGTGATGCGACTCTTCAGGTTCCGTAACTTTAACTCCAGCACGATACGGATGGTGACAGTCGCCGACTGCAGCCGCTTCCTGACTGACGCAGACCCGACCGTGAACACCCACTGGCCCGTGACGGGCGCCTGCCAGCCCATATCGGAGGAGGAAACCTCTTCTGGCAGCGCGGAGGCCGTGAACGCCGGGGCTGGCCAATCAGAAGAAAGTGCAATAAGACATCAGTGTGGGACTAGTGATGGGGACATGGGGGCAGGGTGCACGTGTGGAGGGGGGGTGTCTAACACGGACTTTGTCGGTGACGTCGCCACGCTGAGCAAGGGAAGTGGGGACGGAACTGCTGCTGAGAGTGATACAGACTTAACAGACAGTAAGGATGACAGCGTCATTCCACTCACTAAAAAACAATCAAATCTTAACCTAGCCACAAGTACCACAAGCCAAGAACAATCCCATGATGCAATGCAAGACGATGACACTCGCGATGGCGGTGAAAATGTTGGACCACACGTTTGGGAACAGTACAGGGCAGCTGAAACTTCCCATGGTGCAACTGCAGAGCCTTCCCATGAGTCATCTGCAGGGTCTTCTCATGATGCAACTGCAGGGCCTGCCCATGATACAACTGTGGAGCCTTCCCATGATTCAACTGCTGGGCCGTCCCATGATGCAACTGCAGGACCTTCCCATGATGCAACTGCAGGGCCCTCCCATGATGCAACTGCTGGACCTTCCCATGATGCAACTGCAGCAGGACCTTCCCATGAATCAACTGCAAGGTCTTCTTCTACTTCTCATGACTCGTTTGCGATGGGCCCTGACGATCTGTTTTATAATTACTACTATGATGAGGAGAGCGATGAGATGTGGGTGGATTATGACTACCTCCCGCACCAGGAGCTCCTGCCGCGCGCCTCGTACTACACATCCCCGCAGAAGGACAGCCCCACGCAGAGAGGGAAGGAGGGCGGGAGAAGTCAGAACAGTTTTTCCAGCGGCGCCAGCCACAGTGGAGAGCACAGCGAGCTCCTGGCCTCGTACGATAACATCGACGTGGCATACAGAGACCACGGCGGGCGGCCGTCAGCGAGCGATAAGTACCTCATCTTCACAACAGGCAGCGAGACTTACACACCTCACCAGATAGGTATGGGCTGCCTTTCTTCAAATAGTGTTCCTACAATTGTGCTAAATGTCTTGAGCTACTAGTATTTGACTTTCTACCGGTATGCTATGGAAGCTCTCAGGACATTTAAACTGTGGATATCTGCCTTCTCAATCAGTCAATGCAACCAGAAAGGATTAAGGCTAGCTGCAGTGCCTTTTCTTTACTCTGACCTAAATAAAGATAACTTACTTTACTATGTAATCATCTGTTATTGTAGATTGACATATCATTTTTTATGTATGTTTATCTTTATCAACCCCCAGTCAGACTAAGTGTTTCTTAGTTTAGCTCAGTAGATTAAAATTCCTATCAAATGTCCTAAAATACTTCCTTAAAACTGTGTCCCTGTGTGTGTTTGTAGGCATTAAGAGAATCTGTCCCCAACAGAAGATATGCTTGGAAATTATTCTTTTCATACTTCTTGTGTCCTATAAAACTTCATTAAAATTGTGTCCTTGTGTGTGTTTGTCTAGGCATTAAGAGGATCTGTCCCCAACAGAAGATGTGCTTGGAAATTATTCTTTTCATACATGATCCCTATGATCTTGTATCCGTTCATTAAAACAGTTTCCTGTTTGTGTTTATAGGCATTAAGAGGATCCGCCCCCAGCAGAAGGTGATGAAGGACCCGAAGACTCTGCTACAGGAGAACGCGCTGCACGGCTTCCACGGGATGGACGGACAGGACCTGGTGGAGTTTGACAGCGTGGACCAGATCATCGAGTTACACGGGCACATCATCGGCATGGGGCTGTCTCCTGATCACAGGTGTGCATGGGGCTTCTTATCCATTATCACTCTCAGCATTTAAAGTAGCTGAGAATAAGTCAAGTACTGGTACTTTTCTGTATTGAAAAGTTGTACACACCCAAGTGTATCTGTATTTTAGCTCCCATGGCTCTTTTATCCACTATTTGTGGAGAGAATGAAAGAGATTGCAGCTAAAATAGGTTGTACATGTACACAGCCTAATGGTAAGTCTCCAGCTTGTTTTGCTCAGAATGTCGGACCAAACTACAAAAATTTGGATACAGGTATGTGTAGTCTCAACACAGATGAATGTTCCTTCTAATTTGCATTTTTCCATCAGCCACTTTGTCTTTTTTTTCCCCCTCAGATACCTGTTTGTAAACAGTCGTTCCTGGCCGGAGGGTTACACGATCAGAGAACCGTTAGAGCCTCCACCAATAGCAGAGCAGATTGAGATGCACGTGTTTGATCTGACCACCATGAGTCGTGTGGACAGGATATACACCAGTCACAAGGCCAAGACTCCCAACGACGAATGTTTCTTCATCTTCCTGGACGTTGCCAATGAATTTGTTGCAAGGTTTGTTTGACTAATCAACTGGTGGACGTACCAAGTACTAATGCCTAATACCAGCTCAGAAAAGAACAAGAAATGCTAGTAGTCATGCCTTCATGTACCAGAGTTATCAACCAAGAACCAAAATTCATTCTTTTCTATAACTATATATATGTATATCACAGAGTGGAACTCGCTGTCACCAAGTACAGTAAGAGCATTATCATTAGACAGCTTTAAACAATGTTTACATGTTCAAGGGTTAGGTGTATCAAGTTGTTCAGTGTAATGTAGCGGTAATGTAAAGTTTTCCCCCTTTTTTGTATGTTGTACAGTGGAGCAGAAGACCACAATGGCTACATCTGGGACCGTCATTACAACACACTTCTCGCCAAACTGCCGCACACGGACGTGGTGAACTCCGTCGCCTTCAACCCGCAGGATCCCGAGATGCTGATCACCGCGAGCGACGATTTCACACTGAAAGTCTGGCGGTCGCGTCGGAAACAGCACGAACATAACGAAAAGCAAGATACGCTGAAAACACCAAATTAGTAGGAGCTGGAAAAGCAAGGAAAATTTTGTGCTATGTATTTGTTGCAGCCTGCAAAATGCAATATTTTGGTCCTCTGCATTGCTTGTGGAACTGTCTGTTTTGCCAAAAATTGTACATTTGTAATTAGTTGTCTGGTATCACTGTAGATATTGACAATTACCTTCACTGCTGAAAAAAGCTTCAATATAAAGAAAGGTTTTGATATTTAAATTAAAGCTAGAATACTTCTCCTATATACTTCAACAGTATTGTGTTTGTGCATGTCTTGTCTTGGGTTAGAGGTTGTTATAATTCAAGTTTGGGTTGACTATTGAAGGATGTTTGTTATATATGGTGGAGAATAGCCATGGATAACAGTAATGTTTCAACACTTGAATCAATGCAAATGTACTTACTAATATTATTTATTTCCGTACTTCTCTGTTCTTTGTTGACTGGCTTTTGTAAGCTGTTGTTACTAAACATCACAACAACTCAGTAGGTCTTAGACAAATCAGTTTTATTTTTGCTTGTTCCCCTCAAGTTCTCTTAGTAGAAAAAAAAAAGGAATTCAAAGGCACACTACACTACCTTTCCAAAGGTACTTGGTTTACAAATAAATCAGCTTAAAATGTTGCACTTAATTCTTTGTAAATATAATTTGATTCAGAGCTATCTATTACTGGGGCTATACAATTTTGCATATGTTTCTTTATTGTAGGAAAATATAATATTTGACTTGACTCTAACTGTTGCAGGGTAATGTATTACATTACATTGTTACAGCAAGGAAATATGACGACTTTTTTCATTAACCCTTTCTACTCTATGAATGCTTCAGGGTATCACATTTGTTCTGGTTCCAGGGTGAATTAGACTGAGGAGGGTTAAATATGGTTGAGGTGAAATGGATGATTTGGCAATGGCTACTCGATTGATTTTGTTTTTATTTATTCCCCAAAGAGACCTAAGTTGAATTTTAGACACTGAATCTCATAAAAAATCTCATCAAGTTTTATTTTGATTCTAATATTTCACCAATGAAAACAGTGTTATTTGTCAAATCCAGTTGTATTTTATTGAATGTTTACTTATTTCTTGATTTATCACAATATGTACATTGATGTATATGCATGATAATAATCTCTAAGAAATAAAGACACCTTCAAATGATACCATAGCACTTGTTACGACTTTTTCCTCTAAGACATTTGCAGTATACGCATTTCACTTTTCTTCTTTCATTTCCATAAAGTACAACATACACAATTCTACGATAGCAAGGACCAACGTCACACTACAATCTACATTACTAAACTTCCTATTTATGTTTTCCTTTGTAGCCTTTCATTTACATACACGTGTTGTTCAACTTAACATATATACATATAGCACCTTGTATACATAGTGCCTCAAAAATACATGTATTGGACACACATAAAGGTTATTATTTCATGTGTTGCGCTGCATTTCCTATAAAATACTTAATATACATATATAACTATATTTGCCAAACCAAGTGTTTGTTATAACACACCACTACATGTACATGTAAGTTTGTATTTACTTCAAGTTATGTAACACTCTCAATTCACAATTGGTTGAAATGCAATTCCCAGATTGGGTCACACAGTGTATTTAGACTATTTCTTATTTTTGGTGATAAATTCCTAAATTAATGTAATTTCAATGGTGTATAGATTTGAACCTATTGTACTATGTACCTAACCTTATATCTTCCTCAATTTACCATACATTATATGCTGTAGTTATCCATATCATATACACAGTAACTATATAAGGTTAAGCCTAATTTTTTATATGTGGACTATGATACTATTTTTTTTACGATCAGAGTTACCCCCGGTAGACATACTCATTTTCCTGTGTGTTTTTTCCGCCGCTGAATGTGGTGTTGACGTAGACAGGTTCCTCCGGGGCGGGGTCGCTGTACCCTGCCGCCTCCTGCCAGCGGTTGGTCGGGACCTGGTCTGAGCTGCCGAACGCCGGGTTGTTGAACACAAACTCTCGTGGACCAAGTTCTTCTCTCTAATGCAGGTGACAAAATGAAGAAATGTAGTAGTAGACTTTTTAATAGTTCTTTATAAAAGAATAGCAAAAGATATACATGCCTCCTGGAAGCTGTGGAGGGTTGAATTGTCTATAAAATGATTATACATTAACAGTTGTCATCATTTAGCAAACAACGTTAAAATTAACTTATTCAACATTAAAGACTCTAAACAATTGCAATCGAAGATAAATGAAGTGAAGTCAATCTGGGAAAACAATTTAAAAAAATTGATACAGATGCAGCTAAGATGTAGAATTAAAGTTAAAGGCAAAAAACAACATAGAAATCAAAACTGAAGAAAAAGCCAGCATTTGGAAGATATTGCACTATTGATTTCCTTTACAATGACACAAATGGTCTATCATGACATGTCCATGGACACTTTGTACATTTTGCATATTGCTGCATGCAGCTTGAGTTTGAACTACAGCTATATAGCTACATCCAAACACAAAACATAAACCTTGTTTTCTTGTGCAATGCATATTAAGTAAGTGTTTATTAGTGCAGAGGTATGAGTTAGACGTAAACAAACCTTGAATGGATCCTCCTGAGGAGCTTCAGGCTCGTCGTCCTGACGTTTGCGGCACTTGATCACCACTATGATGATAACCACTAGGACGATGAGCAGAAGGGCGCCCCCTACCCCTCCAGCGATGTAGTACAGCGTGTTGGTCGGCGTGGCAGTCTTAGTTTTGATAGTTGCTGTTGATGTGTTTATAAGTTGAGTCATTGTGATCGGTGTCATTGCTTGGGTTGTTGGTGATGTCATCGAATGTTGTGTAGTTGCTGTTGATGTCATAAGTTTCTGTGTAGTTGCTGTTGATGTCGTCTTCAGTTTCTGTGTAGTTGCCCTTGGTGTCGACAGTTTCTGTGTAGTCCGACGCTGTGTGCTGGTAGGTGCCATGGTCGGCGGTCGTGACGTCAGAGGCAGTTCTGGCCTTGGTGATGACGGTGACTCAACTGCAGCAAAGGGTATGATACATTGTTGGTGGTTGATAGTAGCAGTAAAATATACAATTTCTTACTGGTTTATTCTTAATCATGCAGATAGGTTAGGTACAGACTAGCTACCTGCACAACCAACCAACCAACCAACCAGCCAGCCAGCCAGCCAACCAACCAACCAACCAACCAACCAATCAGCCGTCTAGGAGATGACTGGTACACATTGTTTCAGATCTAGCATGACTGAATGACATGAATATACTCACTTATCACCCTCACTCTCTCCACCAAGAGCTCCCGGATGCTGTCGATGACAGAATAAGTACCGACTTGGAACACCCGATCTGAGTCTCCTGCCACTGCTAACAGTTGGTCCGCGTTCACGTCATTGCCAACTCCAATGGAGAATGGAATTATGGCTACAGCATGTGCAAGAAACAAGCACAGTTTTGTTATGGAGTCATACAACAAAACATCAACTGATAGATGATACCTAGAATTGATACCTTACATGTATCAAATTACCTTGAAAAAGCTTGCATAGTAGTGTGTAGCGGCGACTATCAAAGTTGTCCCCTTCCCCAAACTTTAATAGACAAAAGATCAAAAGATTTTTTTTACAATGTTAGAATGAGTCATTCTTACTAGATGCTTGTAAGGCAGATATTGCCTGTGGTAGTACGGTATCTGGGTTGTCATTCGCTGCCCCGTCCGTTATAAAAACCGCTATCCTGGGGATCCCCTCCGATAGTGGCCGCGCCCCTTTGGCTTCCGTAAAACTTGTGCCGATCAGGTAGTGAATGACCTGGCCTATGAGAGTCCCTCCTCCTCTGAAAGAAGAGTGAAAAGTGATTATCTAAACTAAAGAAAATGGTGAATACAATACTTAGAATTTTAGCTCGCATTCACAATTGCTTTTCAAGTACTCAATACTAGAAAATAGTTACCAAATGTTGAAAACAAACAGGCGTACACTGAGATTGAACCTGATCACCAAATACTGCCGCAATTACAACTCTTTCCTACACTATCCTACATTTGTACATATCAGGGCTTATCTTACAATGCCTGTTTTCCTTTTCTTCCCCTTTTCTTACATTTGGTCGATGTTGCTGATGGCCTGTTGCAAAGACGTCTTGTCAGAGTAGGCATTCAGCGCGAATTCTTCCCGAAACAGGGAGCCAAACTGAACCAGACCTGCGTACAATAACGTTAGATAGATAAATAGATGACAGATAGATAAATAGTTAGTTAGATATAAATATTCGATTGGGTAAAACATTAATTTGTTGGCCAGTTTTGCAAAGCAATCATTAGTTATGTTGAAAAAGTTTGCATTCGACGTTTGTCTAGTATTAAGCTTGAATTTTGATATTACAACTTTTAATAATGTTTATATAGGGCTATACGATTAGAGCTTGGGATACCACTGGTCATGATGTACTTACCTACGCGTGTGAAGTCAGCAGCGATGTCGAAAGCGTCCACAACTTGGCTGATGAAAGTTTTCGCCCTGCCAAAGTCCTCTGCGCTGATGCTACCGGAGCCGTCCAACACAAACATGATGTCACCGGCATCGCCAGAGGCTAGGGGCAGAAACACAGCGCACTCAAGAGTTGTTGTCTGGTTCTGATTTTGAAAGGTACGTTAACGGGGGTGGTCCTAATTCCGACCCACCCCTAATACCAAACTAGTTTGAAAAATCCTTGTTGCGGCGTTATGCATGGGAGCACGTGAGTAAAAATAACCTCAAGAATGGACAAAGTTTTTGTGTTCATAATGTCAAACTTACAAACTTTGTTTTAGTTCGTACGCTCCGACAACAGACGAGTGAAAAATCTGTTTTAATTTGACGCTTGTTCGGGGGTCGTCGAGCGTGTCAAAAATGCAGGTTTTGCTTTTGAAACAGCCGCTTCGGAGCACGTCGCGTAATCGTAAAAAGAGGACTTGCTTGTTTGGGACAGAAAAACAGTTATAGATTGTTTTAGTCATAATTTGTGTATTATAATTTCTAAACTCTTTTCTCAGATCGACCTGTGTGAAACACTAGGTTGTAATAAGGGCACCCCTTTTGCGATAGAACGTTCCACCGGCAAAATGACCAAAAACCTGCCGTAAGTTTCGGGAACCATTAGCATTACGCTTGGGTGCAAGGCGCCGTACACCAAAGTGAAATACACAACCGTGCAGCTTTGATCGTTGCGATCTTTATCTGTCAATATTACAGCTCAAGTTGCGCGGATTTTTGGTCAGATAAACTATTACCTAAGGTATGTGCTTTTGCATGGAACATAGGTCGGAATTAGGGCAGCCCCCGTTACCGATTGTTGACTGTATCTTTAAATCACATACACGCCCCTATTTTGATGTTCGTATATTCGTTCCTGTACGTATGTGTTTATGTATCTGCACCTTTCTTACTTTCGTGCACCTAAGAAACATACCTAGAGGGGGCTAGCTCCATTTAAGCCAGGGCCCGGTTGTGCTACATGCATGTTGGGGGCTAGAAGGGGTTCCCCCAATGTAGCTTCATGCGTCATTAGCTAATTAGTAAGAAACGCGACAAGTTCTTATGCGGAACAAATTCAAAAGTCTTCGGTTAGAACACGACATAAAGATGACAAAAACGTAGAGGCTACATATTTGATTATCCAAACAATCAGTCTTTCATCACGTACAGATAGTTTTATAATAACCCTTGACCTCGGCAATCGAACTAGAACTAATTCGAAAACCCGTCGTCCTTGAGGTCATCGCTAAAAACAACAAAATGGATATGTGCATTGTCCCGTTTTTTGTCGCCTCATTATTCTATAGTTCTCCAAATTTTTACTCTTATTTACTATTTCTAGATTTTTTTTCATCTTCTAAGTAATTCTGGCGAAGGCAAGTGGGGGTTTTATCAATCAAACATACAGAATCACAGCATGCGCAGTACCATGGGTAGATTTCTAAGTCCGTACTTACTGTGAACGTAAGAACCCACTCTCACGTTTACTTCCTTCAGAGAACCTTGATGGAAGCCATATTTAATTATAAGCACCGTCTAATTAAATAAACGATTCGTTTCCGTCATGTCAGTTCTGCTTCAACTTGAATTACTGTAGTATCAAACTTGTGCCCGTAGAAATTTATGCGGATGCTTTTCTTGCTAAACAACCGAAAATCCCTATGGTGAATACATATTCCAGGACGTTGCTAGCTAAACTTTTTAGAGCAAGTTAGATTCGCTGACGCCGCGTATTTTGCTTCGGGCTGTCCACACCACAAGTGTATCAAGTTGGAGATCACGCTAAGATGTAGTCTCTTCTTGTTATGATCATGACATTCAAGTCAAGTCAAAAATCACTGCTAAGCATTTTCATTGGTAAAGCCTCAAATAAAACACTAAAGTTGATTCCTATAAAACGAGGATCTACCTTTCTGAATAAGGTACTTGTGAGTAAATGCACTTCTAGCTGTGATGCTTGTAAATTACAATGAGGAAGTTCCTGAAAAAACAGTAGTGTACGAGTAGTTTCTTACCTGCCAACACGAAAGAAGGTCCGTTGCACAGTCCTACAAAAAGTAGCAGTGCCCACCACCAGTTGTTGGCCATTTTGTTACGGATCAGTACAGGTTTCACGCTTAACAAAATTCTCGTTCCTGTACCTTGCAAACTTATTTCTTGCACTCTGGCGTATTGCGCCACTGGGTAGGTGACTAAAAACTGATCTGGGAAAACCCGCCGAACAATTCTGACGTCTGACTAATCTGAATAAGAAAAGGGAGCAAGAACGCCACTGCTATGACGTATTAAATTGTTCTGACCTCTAATTTGAGGTCCATGCGCACCCCAGGCGTCACGCACCATTTAGCATTAGGTGCTCACAGCTGCAGTGTTAAGTATCTCCGCTAGATGACGCTTTGTGAACGACCATCCTGAGGCAATCCAGTAGTGCAGTGATATATACTGTATTCAAATTTAAAACTTTTACGTTCTTTTGATCCTAATATTTTGTGCCTACTCCTGTTGTTGTAGCGTGCCCAATGGAACACACTGTCTTAAGTGATCTCTAATATATTACCGTATTTATCCAATAGGGATTTATTAGTACATTTTTTATCAAATTTTGTATCAAAGAGATATCACAGGTGTAATCAAAGTGTGTCCGGGTATTATGTACGATACCTTTCCTATAAACCTCAAGTAATACATGATAAGGCAGCATTCACTTAGACAACATGGTCCTTGTAGTTTTATTCCAGATACAACATTGAATACAGTTTTTATATCAGAATAAAATATTGAAATAAGAAACCTGATACTAGTACCTCCCTCGAATATTTTGTAAAGACTTTTTAAAAATTTCCTGCTTTGTTACACATGTATTACCGGTATTGTGAATTTCTGAATGTTTTGTCGATGCACTTTCCCGTTGGCTCCCATAAAGCGACAGACATGCATGTAACAGAGAATTAGACAAGAAAGATATCATTTTCTGGGACCTTAGTTGGACCTAACGTCCCCACGTGTATAGCATGCATATGTGGAAATAACAATGGAAACACATGCAAACACACAGACATGCATCCAACAACAAAACCGATGTACAGTATATGGTATAATCTCCAAGCAGATCTTTTGGTGGGGGTAAGACAGTATCAAATTGGCCAGTCTGTATCCATTTCCCCACCCACTTGTAGGTCTTCCTATACTGCATAGAACATGCATGTACATCTATACTGTTTGTTGGGACACAGAATACGTTCACTGAAAAGCGTTGTGCCATTATTTCACATGAACAAGCGTAGCTTTACACAGAAATTTAATTTCTTCTGGTTTAATCGACTATGCCTGATACAGAACGTATGCAAAAATACCAAGACCCTGTTATAGAAATGCAGGAAAGACAATCTATAGAAATAACTAAGTTTCTTAAATACTGCAGAGTATTTTGACACAGTAAGTAATGGTATGAACATGTCGATGTTTACGAAAGTTTCAAATGATTATTATGACTCATCATCTCAGTCCGGTTGAAGCGGCTGTAAAGAATGCCACCTAGCGGTTCCTTTGCGAGATGCAGAAAGGCTCTTCCAGTGATCTAGTTCCTCCCCCTCCGACTCGGCGCTCAGCACGACTTTCCCCAGCCCCTGGTTCTGGCCGAACCTGTTCTCGTGAACTATGACCAGTTCGATGTACACGTGGTCCATGAACTCTCTCCCCACGTCGAAAACCAGGGCCTCGTTGTAGACGGGGTTTGTGGTAGAGTGTCTGGTGGACGTCTTCTTCTTTTTCAACCTCTTCCCGGCGTAGAGGATGGACACTTTGACGTATGGATCTGTGGATCAGGGAAATGATGTTTAGAACCACAATACCTCACCACACAATAAAACAACTGGATAGATTTTGAAAACTGTCAGGTGGCCTCCACTACACGTACTTTCAATTCATAGGTCTTGGATAAAAATCCCTTGTACTACATATTCCGTTAGTCACTGACGAATTTAAAAGTTGTGGACGCTTCTTGAAACGTCCGAAAGTTTTCATCTACCCAGTTACTCGATTAACTACTATTTCGTGTATCTCATTATCTAGATGTCCAACCTTCATCGATGAATCCCTCACTACTTGCAATGAGAAATAGTCGCTGTTGTACATGTACATGTTCAATGTGCTGGAAAATTCCATTAGTATAGTAGACAAGGAACCGCGGAACCTAATACTGCGTCTACTTTCTACAACCTAATATTGCCTTGATTGCTTTTAAATCAGCTTGATTTCGTCTCTTAGGAGTACATTTGTAATTGGGGTCATCCGTGTGTCAACAAGTTTGATTGGGGTCGATGTAACCGCCTCCTGTCCGCATGTGTTTCGGCGACAGGTGGCACAGTAGGCATGACAGCTTGTTCGTTTTCATGTCGTTTAGATCGATCTTCAAGTACTCTCCAAGCAGAGGTTTGGGTTTTGGGTTATTATCGGGGTTTCTTTTTTTGCACTGGAATTTTTTCACTCCCCCATGGCCCAAAAAAATCCATTGCAAAAAAGAAACGATAATAACCCAAAGCCCAAACCTCTGCTTGAAAAGTACTTGAAGATCGATCTAAACGACATGAAAACGAACAAGCTGTCATCCCTACTGAGACACCTGTCACTGAAACACCTAAAGCCTAAAACACGCCAAAAAAACGATGGTTTTGCAACTGATTTCCTACATGTATACGAAGCTTCAAATTCTACATGCACGCATAGGTGGACAGGAAGGGCAATTATGAGGAGGCTTTTGATGTTTTCCTGTCACGTTGTGAGGAAAGTACACCGTCTAACGAGTAGGATTGTAGTTAATTGGAGAACAGTATGCCAGCCCGTGGAGCCGGCGACAGACTTATGCACCCCCGCGTAAACGGATTGATTTCTGCCCCATTCGTTTTCATACAGGTTCGGATGGAAGCCGTCAGCTTATTCCCCAAATGACAATTCTTGTTTCCTCCCTATCAATCAGACACCGAGGAGTCATTAAAGGCATCCAATGCGATTTCAGGGCAGCAACACTGGAAATATTCTGAATAAGGCAGTTTTTGCGATATTGACACATACTGCTTCACATTAGAACACATTTGAGTCAGTATTTCATACTTTGGGCTTTTAAAACTGCAGAAGCAAGCCCCAAGATGAGCCCTTTTTTCTGGGTGGTACCCTAAAAATCAGCCAAGTGCCTTCCAGTACCCAAATTCCGCCAGAATTTTGGGAATTTTTGTTCCATGAGGGTCAATATGGGATAGTGTGGTTTCAACTCAGTATGTAGATAAATGACTAGAATATTGGCTTTAGAAATCGGGTTTCCAAGCCTTAAAAACTGCACTGGATGCCATTAAGGTCCATTGCGGCTCTTTCACGTACGCCAAATTGGCACTTTGAGACCTGTTCTACAAAAATCGTTGTTCTGTTTTTGGATCAATTCGTCTGCCTCGTTATTTTTGGGAGCCCGTTATTTTTCTGAAGAAATGAATTATGTTGAGAACAAATTTTCTTGTACAGGATGATCCCTGGTCGTCCTTGATTGGTGAATCTGCTCTTCCTGCCGATGACTTATCATGTGGAGAAGCGTCTTGATTAGAGATAGACCCTGTATTAAAATGCTTGCCTTCCAACTGGGGGGGGGGATTCAGTTCTTTCGTGTATGTACATGTTAATGCAAATCATAACTAGAAAGGTAACATTTGCAAACCAAATCAAATGCATATAATGCCTTCGCATATGGTCTGCTCTGTTTTTTCTTACTCAAACACATTCATATGTATAGTCAGATAGGAGTCTAAATCCTTCTGCTATAAAATTGCAACATGATGTAACCCAACACTAGTTACCATGGTAACAGACAGTCTGGTTCAGACCATTGACCCTTTTGGTTTGGAGAAGAAGAAGAGGAAACGTAGCAAAAACAATGTGTTTTCCTTCGCTAAACATAACTAGGTTGAATTATCAACAATATACATTGAAACGCAAGGAAGAGGAGGATTTCGGTATTATGAAAAGAAAAAAAATGAAATACTGTTATTTCATCTTCAACGTTAGCACAGCGGGATAAGGGAGATCTATACCGCAATATTATGGGAGATGAATGAAAAGAAAACGTTTCGTTTCCCAGTGAAGATCTGTCTGAAGAATGAAGAGGCTTAGCCGTGTACATTCACATTCGTCACAGGATACCGGTGATGCAGAGGCAGATATAATGTTGAAAATGCGGTGGATTTTAGTACCCCTTTCTAAATACATATTTACGACTTGGAATTCTGCGAAATGACTTCTGGATTGAAACGACTTTGCCGAAGAGTTGATGCAAGGGACACACATCGAGCTAAGGTGCAATGGAAGGGGTAAGGGCTTTTACAACTTCTAGCAAAATGTGTATTCAAAACTTTTGAATTCTGCAATGTGACGATCTAACTATAGGTTCTAAAAACACATTAGTACAAGGTAATAACTTTTATAACTCCTTTCTCAATGTATACTGTACAGTCGAAAACAGGCGCTCAAATCCCCCTCAAAAGTGAGTAGATGAAGGCAAATGGGCTTTGAAAAAAGACGAAAGCTTAGAATATTCCTTTCAAAATGTATATTTATGACGTTTTGGATTCCGCGAAATGGACGCCCGATCGTTAGAACACTTTGTCACGAAAGCAGAGATAGCGCCAAATGTGCGCTGAGTGGGGAAAATGGCTTTAGAATTCCTTTCAACATTTATATTTACTACTGTAAATCGGTCTTGCGAGAAAGTTTTTTACTATAGAGAACGATGGATGTGGTCAGATAAAGCCACATATGTGTTAAAAGTGACACGAGCTTTCAGACTTCCATTCTAAATGTATAACGTTATTCATCGCTTTGGACTCTGCGAAGCAACCATTTATAGCCGTTAAAAGTGTCTGCCATACAACATGATGTAAGTGAGCAGATATAGTAAAAATATATGCTTTCAATGAGGTAATAGGTCTTGGAGTTGGACGTCTTGTAAAATATGGGTGTACGATTGAACTTTACGAATTAACAACAAGTTCTGCTGTGTATATTTTCAGCCGTGAAGCAAAGTGGGTGGTTGTAGCTGAATGCTTCCACCACCCACCCATCTGTTAAAAGTGTCCATCATACAACATGTGTAAGTGGGTAGATTTGGTAAAAACTATGCTTGAAATGAAGTTATAGGTCTTGGAGTTGGACTGCTGTGGATATTTTCAGCCGTAAATCACGTTGTTAAGTGGGTGGTTGCAGCTGAATGGTGGCTGAGTGGTTAGAAACGACGTTACGCGCGGGGAAAACGCCATCGGTGTCCGACGGAAATGAAAGGATAAGTGGACAGTGTTTCACCGAGCGTGCACGGCACCACTGACGCCCACATCCGCCCACCTATGTCGTTCCAAACCCTCTCAGAATGTAGCTACCATTTAGCTGTGAAATTTCTTCTCTTTTATGATATCATCTTTATTATACCCGAAGGCTAATTGCTAACCAACATTGCCAGACTTGGGGAATGGTATAAACCCATATGTTAAAATGAAGTTTTGCGTTCTACTAAATACCTTTCTATCTCTGCTTAAAACTAATACGTGGCAGATGAGAGTGGATATGTAATACATAAATAGGTAAGAGAAACGTGGCAACTACATGTACTATTCTATTATCCTATACTATTCTAGTCCAGCTATTAGGGGGTTTGACTTCTTCTATAACATTATGTTGCATCCAAGATAGAATGTCAATCTTTACTAATCTCTGCAAACTGATCTAGCGAACTTCGTTAAAACGAAACAGGAGTTGCGATTTCAACTTAATATTCAGTATCTTAAGCCTATCCACCCGTTACTTCCTCCTTCAGGCTACTTTACACAAAGCGCATGTGCTTGTGAGAAATATTGCCAATTTACGAACTCGCCATCCCCGGGAATTAAGCGTCCCAAATTGCACCCAGGTAAGACTTACACAAAGACGTATAAGGTGACGCCGAGGTTGATAAGATATACAGCCAAGATGTCACGACTTCGCTCCAACTAATCTCACAGATATTTCACACAAGAAAGCGACGCCTTTCTGATGTATTAGAGGTGACCGCCACGAAAGGAGAATGCCCCCGTCGCCAGACGCAATCCCGAGAATTTGTAAAGTTGAAATAACCGTGTCTGAGGCCGCTCTATCGCCAATGGCTTAACGTGGGCGTTCATTTACGGCTCGTGAATGTACGGCGCCGGGACTATTCACATGAGGGTCACCAAGAAACTCACAAAACATAAGGCAGGGGCGCGGAATGGATAGGGTGGACCTAAGGGGAGAGTTAAAAGTTACAATCCGTTCTCTACATCAACTTAACTGTCATCACTCAGGAAGTGAATTTACATTTACGTACGGCCATTTTAGCTTCAAAACGACTGCTAGTAAAATTATAGGATATTTCTTACGATGGTAAGTCGTACAATTGAATTTATAGATGGTACTTTTGAATGTATTAGGTCAGCTTGGGGGAATATTATCTGTTATTGTTATTTTAAAACCTCTTAGCTGGCTGAAATTATGATCTACATTACTTAGAAGGGTAAGTCGTTTACATCGTTCGATGGTGTCTATCAATTTTATTTTATGGCCAGTTTTTCCATTAAGCACTCGTTTATAACTTAACATGCCTTTTCAACCCTCCCAGCATTTTTATTTTCCCAGTATTATTTACAGTTGTTGCCCTTGCAATGTTAATCTTAACCCCACATAACGATAAAACGAAAAGTCGGTAAGGGTCTCAGTTGCGAAATCCATCTATAAAACGACAGTATCACTTACCGAATGTGTGAGATATTAACGATATACAAAATGAATAGCCATTTACCTTGTTAATCTCTAAGTGGAAACTTATCAGATTACATTTATAGCAAAGGTAGGCACTATGCCTGCCGATTTTGTGAGATATTAACTATATACAAAATGAATAGCCATTTAACCTTTGTTAATCTCTGAGTGAAAATTTATCAGATTATATTTATAGCAACATCGATGGATATTGAGGTAGGCCTGATGTGTACACGATTGTGGAAAGATTCTTTCGTTCATGTCTAAACTACGTCATCGCTCCATAAAATGCCCACTTCCCGTCTGTGCGGCAGCTTAAAGCAGGCCGGCGGCGACGTCTGTTTGCGTCAGAACGTACGCGAGAGGTCAGCTCATCCTCTCAGAGTGGTTCAGTTTTAGCTCGCTGGCGTTTGAAATGGAAACGATTCCGTCAGGAGGATAAAAACCCATCATGACCATCGGGAAAGAACCATTACCCTAACTCTGACGTCCAGACACAAGATAAGTGGAGGTTATTTTTGTACGGAAGTACCTTCTCAAACTCTTTGATGTGGACAGACTGCTCTAGGATATGTAAGTCTGTCAGTTTTTCCGTGGTTGGAAGTTTCATGTTTGCCTTGGGTCCTGAAGAAATGTTCTTTGTGAGGTAGGAGACCATGTCACAAAGACAGCAGGATCCAATAAAGACAGCAAGAAGAGACCGTTGAGTTAACGTCGAAGGTCTAGAAAATTAAGAAATCTCTCCTCGGTTATTTTTAGTGAGCACTCAATGGTCTCCGAGGTCTTTCTCAATTACTTCAACAAACAATGTCTTGTGGTCGCTCATTGGTTGCCCAACCGTCTCCGTCATAGAAACAGGCTAGGGAGATAGTCACATAGTAAGTTGAGTGTGTAGTGACCTGGATGCAAGACTGTTTCGAGGGCCTACACAGGCCATTTCCTCGGCTCTAGGGCGCGGGCCAAAATGCCCACAGGAAATTTTACCACAGTCCCCCTAGATCTAACTTGGGGTGGGGGTGGTTTGTCGTGACATTTCCTCGTGGGAATTTTGGCCCTAGAGCCGAGGACCTAACCTAAGTAGGGCCTGGAGACAGTCTGATATCCAGGCTAGTCCTGTAACTGACCTGGTCTCTTGTTGTGCGGCGTGTTCTCGAGCCCCCGCGCCTTTAGGATGACGATGGTCAGTCTCTCCGCCGTGGGGAGGTAGGACGCCGTCAGGAGCAGGTCACCAAGGGCAGGCTTCTTCTAAACATCCAGACACAAAAAAATTTCTTCGTTCAAACAAGCTCAAAATCTTACTACATGTAGTAACCTAAGGCCAAACTATGTCGTCATAGACAGCAATTGAGTTGCAGATATATCGACGAGACATGCCGGTTCTAACCCATTTATATACAAATAGGTAAATATATCAAAGAATGTTTAGACCTTAGAACAAGTAGTATTAGTTGACCCATCTATTGTTCTGTACGTAGGATATTTTCGTTGTACCCATGTATATTTGTCTGTATATCTACATGTCTTAGACCTTACGATAGTCGCTGTACTTTTTTTGTGTCAAGAAAATTCTCTCTATATTAGACTGAGTTCCAGTAAGTTTGTAAAACAGGTTATCCAGTGAAGTTTTCTCTGTAAATACCTCCGGCGTCCTGATCTTGTAAGACTCGATCATTTTCCAGAGCTCCACGCGCTCGCTCAGGTCCACGTTTTCCAGCGGTAGCAGCACCTGACCCACGCACTCGTCTCGCGAGAACTGGTCATAGTCAAACAACAGGAACCGTATCGTTCTATTCGGCAGGTCTGTAGGCGGAATTTCAAAAGCGAATTTCTCCTCAAATTCCGGGTCTAAAGTCTTCCTGTGTATTTTGGACTGCAGTGTTCTGGGTTCATCCGGCAGGACCGAGATTTTGAAGTAAGGATCGGCCGTGCCGCTGAACTCTCGCGCCTGGAGGTCACGTGCCTGGATCAGGCGAATGGTGAGGATGCCCATGTCTCTGTTGTAGTGTAGAGCGAAGTGCAGCTCTCCGGCGTACTCTATGGTAGGCTCCTTGGTCTTCATCTAGGCATGGAATAAAACGTCACACATTTATTTAAATTGCAAACAATACAGTGCAATACAGTGGAAGCCCTGGCAATTACTAGTATCAATTGGACATATGGTATGGCATGTTTCCGAGCATTTTGTTAACCTCACACATTCAAAAGCTGATATGTGTTGACACTGTACACTTCGTATACGTTATTTTGACAACAAAGCCTATACTACTAGTATACTCGATTGTACACATTTGTCACATGATAGTCACGTGATGGTCACGTGATTGGGTGGCCACGTGACCCAGGTTCGGTTGGTTGACCAATCAGATGACGGACTCACCATCTCTAGTCGTTTGTACATCTCGGAGTTGGGGTCGAAGCTGGAGTTTTCCAACCGAGCAGACATGGAGGGTCGCCTTCTGCTGAAAGGCTGGACCTGACTGCCCACCAGCTCCACAGTACTTCCTAATAACCAAGGGGAAACAACAGAAATAATGAAAGTTCATCTGTGTTGGAATTGGTAGTTAAAGGGGCCGACATCGTCTACCAGATACCTTTGACCCAGTGTTAACGTCACACTTCAGAGAGGCCACGTGACAAGTCTCACTGGGTCAGTCTACTGATGAAGACCAGAGTGACTGGTCAAAAGCTCTAGTGAGAACATATTTACCTTTTTAGTGTGTGGGAACAAAAGTTTTACCTAAACAATGTTAACGAGTTTGAGGGATACTCGTGTAGCAACATGTACTGTGTTAAAACACCTAACTATGCCCCCAAAAGACTTTGGAGGATATGAGATAAAAGGTTACTGGTTAAAGGTGACGCATTTTATCCGTCTTTTGATGAGTACTACTACTTTTCAGAGAACCATTTTTATAGTATTGAGATTCGTCGACGTGAAAAAGTTGCCGACGAAGTGGACATCTTGAAACGCGTGGAGCTGTTGCAAATGGATTTTGCCTTTCCTAGAACTCTCTCGGATTTGCACAGAAATGGAGTTTCGGGCCAATCCATTAGAGGAGAAGAGGCAAAGTGCTTCTGACTCAGTTTGTACACAAGTCACGAACAGCACCTGCGGTTCTAGAGTCCTTCACCTCAGACAGATCACAACAGAAGTACCTCTGACATTGATAAAATCTACACAAGGCATCTCAACAGAAGAATACATGATGATGGATTGTAAGTGGGGAAAATTACAAGGAAAGCATCGCAGATTATGGCTCTGCAGTCGACGAAATGTCTTGATATTTTAATCCTGACAACTTGCAAGACTTCTCCTGTTATCGATATGCAATGTCAAACAATACATACATGTCTAACTTTTTTGCATGTACAGAGCTAGAGTTGTACATTTTTTAATGGCCCCGTTATAGTTTGTCGTGTTCCTTTCTTGTACTCCGGTTTCTGATACATAGCTATCTCATTTTTCTACATTTTGATATGTCTAAAACAATTTTCCAGTCGCCCACGCAGTAACTCCCATGAGTAGGATCTTTCTCCACGGTCCCTGCGTACTGTGGGACTGGCATCACGAAACGTTCATCAATTTTACGTAATGCAAGCGTCTCGTCTGCTTTCCCTGTCAATCAAACGCGCCTGTGACATTTGATCTTATTGGAGAAGCGAGACGTAATGAGCGCCGCCCGCGGCTGAGACACGTCTTCTTGTTACAGAAATAGATTTCGTCTGTAACGTTATTAATTCCTGAGATGAGTGGTAACTATGTAGAACAGTTACTATACGTTGATATTCCGGAAGTATGAGGGGTAAATCTATGTGCTTATATGATCGTTATATATTGTTTTAATGAAAAATTATGTACAGAGCAGTACATTTTCTTTTTATGACCCCGTTATACTTTGTAATGTTCTTTTCTTGTACTCCGATTTCTGATACATAGCATGATACATACATCTCATTATTCTACGTTTTGAGATACGTTTCCTAGTTACAGAAATAGATTCCGTCCGTAACGTTATTAATTCCTGAGATGAATGGTAAATATGTAGAACTATACGTTGATATTCCGGAAGTGTCAAATGTAAATCTATGTGATTATGTGATCGTTATATATCCACTAAAGCGACAGCCCTATTCTTTTGATGAAAAATTAAAAACCAATTTCCTTTTTCCGTGAAACTATTAATGAAGGATGATGTATTGGGTGTTGTGTCTACTTCCTTACTTGGATGTTTTCCAGATGCGTGTGCCAATTACGTTTCGCATTAAGTAATCATACCGTGAAACATGTGGCTACAAATATTGACTTTGTGGGGTCGTGTGGCGTAACGGTAGAGTGTTCGTCTCGGAACCAAGAGGTCCCGGGTTCGAACCCTGCTATGCCACCGATCTTGTACCCTTGGGAAAGGCACTGAATTAGAGTTTGAACAGCGTGACAATATTAATGAGCCAGAAGTGTTTCTAGTTCTAGTCCTGACGCTCAGCTGTTTCGACAGCTATTGACCAACCGTGCGACAGCTTGCATTCGCCGATTTTTATTTTTCTCAGCCACCGCTTGTCAGTAAGAAAAAACAAAAAACAAAAAGGATAGTTGGATAAGCATATGCCATATTGTCCGCCATCTTGGAATGGTTTGTCTACTCTGCAACCTTCGCTGCTAACGCGCTGACTTGTATCATGTTATTACGTCCAGTTTTACCCGGGCTGAACCCTATCATTTACCTCTACAGATGATGCTTTGACATACACCTTCTCTGTTTTCAAGCAGTCCTAAGTGTACCTCATAGGGTCCTAAGTGTTGCTCATAAGGTGAATGATGGTGCCAACAACCCTGTTGACGGACCGCATATGTAGCTGGTGTAAGGCGAACCTATCTGTTACCATCTCCCTCATACTTCAGAAATGGGCGGCTTGACAACGTCCTTAAGCCTCAGCAAGCGGGAGAGTAATATGTGCCCCGGACCACGTCATCTGGTAAGACCCTACCCGGAGATAGGTAGCTCTTGATGGATTCTGCTATTATCCTTCAAAGGAAAGCTGCATGAATCTTACCCTCGGCCGCGGGACAGAACCGTTAGATGTGTATCGCGTCTGTTGAAGTGGTTTTAAAGTGCCGTCTGCAGTTACCTTTTTGCCAACGTGCATTTGTTTCCCCTTTAGTTTAAGTGTTCTCTCCGTAGGATTTCTCAAATGTGAAGTGACTGTCGTCGATGTATGACAACCTGAATGGCCTAAAGACATTATCAAGTACATTTCCGAACACGCACAGGCAAGCTTTCTCTACTTGTCTCTGACATACTATTTCCAGTAAAGTATTGATGACATTTTACATTCCATGAGCAAAGCAGAGTGTGGTTCACTTCTGTTATAATTTTCTATCGCTCACTGTGTCAAACACAGAACGAATTACAACTACGGGTACCGGCAATATATCACATTAGCGCCGTAAGACAAGTATATATTGCCCTCGACAGTACTCTAGCTAGCATAGTTATTTCCTACCTACAGGTTCTCGGCGTCTTCGACAAAATACCAACGACATAACGGTGGTTTCTAGCGTCATATCACGTAGATGACGCGTCAGTGCGTGGCAGCGGTGCGTGAACAGCTAGAAGATGGAATTTTCCATGACGACGGCACTCCTACATACGTGCGCCACGACTCAAGCCAAATCAGGCGAGGTCGTGTCGGCATGCAGCTTTCAGACAAAAGTGCAGAGAAGTCACACATCCACAGCAGAAACTGCGTGACAGGGACGGTCTGTAGGGATCATCAGACCGAACATTAAGGTGCCAACTCACATCGCCGTCATGTCGCGGCAGGTGACCTCGGCGACACGATGCTCACTTCTGACACTTTGCTGTTAGTTTTTGGGAGAGCAGAAGTTTTCAGAGACAGACAGTTCATGCTATCAACCTTTCTTCTTACTGGCATAGCTTTCTGTGTAATGAAGGCTATAGACATCTGCTGCGAGTCTACCAATAGGACATAGAATATGAAATTCAAGGAACGATTTAAGCTGGCTTCTGAAATGGGATCGGGGTACCATATGTCAGATCATACTGGTTTTACTTCTTACGTGTAACGCATTTTTTTTGCCTCACCAAAGAATGTGAGGTCTCTTCAGGTATTCCAAGAATTTTCAACTGAGAAATCATTATAGATTTACCGTTCTTGCAATTGCAAAGGCTTTAATGTCGTTGCAAGGTCGTCCATTTCTGGCATATACAAATGTATGCATTTTATCGTCACATTTCATATCACATCACGAACATAGTTCACGTAATCCGAATCCATTCATCTGTAAAGTTCGCCTTTTTATCACCCAGAATTTACGCCTTCTGTCGGCAGACCCGCGGGCGCAACCGCCAGTGTTTTACAGACATTACAGCCGCCCCTGTGAGCAAAGGTCTTTACAAATGATACATTTCCTTCTGGCGTGGCATTACTTATACGAAGGTATCAGCGCGGGAACTTCCTGACTGAATCCGGAAAGGTCAGGCTAGTAATACCACTTCCGGAGGGAGTGACGGTAACAGCCCGTCGTAAGGCCACAGCAAGTAATTTTTATGGATGACATTAGCTCGCGTTAATTTTCGCCTGATTTCTGAAAGAAAAAAAAACAAGAAATTTTGTTGCCCTTTGACAGTGGTCAACATGCCGAAAATGCCATGCCAGGGCGTGGATGGCAGATTAAGAGAGGAGATAATATAAGGCTCTAAGTTATCGTTTTGCCTTTTACTTTTATGCAGTGATGTACTTCATTCCTTTCATATATGATGCTCCCACTGAATCAAAACCATTTGTACAATGATTGAAAACTTTTAACAAGGTTCATGATGCCAAAATTTGAACATATAGGAATCTTGCTTTTTTCCCGCCTTGCTTTTTTTCGCCCTATCGCATTAGATTTGGAGTCTGCCGAGGATGTCATCCATAAACTTAACATACTGTGGCCTAACCAGCAGATGGAGGGTCAGGCCGTAAGTAAATGGTAATCGAAACGTGACGCCGGTTTCGGTTAGTGCTGAAATACCACAGGGCGGGAGTAATAAGCTAAGCCTTGCCTTTAGCCCCGGACTAACATATACCATCGCGCTTGACGTAGCAGTTAAGCCATGGACAAATCATGACAAGCTTTGCAACGTATTGGAGCGTTCTTTCTGTCCAATTCGTACGTCATATTGGATTATAGATAATCCGCTCTTTAAAAATAACGACTGAAAAATGCCATGTCATCTGAAAATGTTAAATTTGAAAGATAAACCTATTTGAAAGTTCCATACCGAAATGTCCAACCGAAGCAGGCCGGCGGCAAATTTATCTACGTGTCTGACGCTCGTGGCGTTCATCTCTATTAGGACACTGTCGACAAGACGGTCGCCAAATCCTCTTAACAGAGATAGCTGCTAATGCAAGTGGACAGCCGTGTCACCGGAGAGCCAGGAGCCAGACTCTAAACCGGCGCCACTACTTTACGCTGTGGTCAAATGACTGTTAAGTGGGCACGAGGATTACGGTTCATATGTGTAGTCAATTTTCACCCCATATGTTGATCTATGGATAAAACCTTTTTAAAAGCGCCAATACAAGTAACAGCTGAAATGGCTCATCGTGACTGGACCATTGTATGATTTGTATAATAACTGCTATTTGTTATGTTACAGTAGCTTTTAGGAAGGGAGGAGCAACAGTGCTGAAATATCTGTATTGCCTCGTCCGGTTTAGAGAATCGTTTATTATTTCTGGCCTTTATTTATGCACCGATACAACAATAGCTACCTCAACGTACGTTTGATTTGTACCAACTACTTCAAGGTTGCACTTATAATAATGGATTAACATTATAGTTTGTCAGACTAGATGCTTTTTTCAGAAGTTGATAGGGAGATTCTTGTTGGTAGATTGTATGGAGACCATTTTACCCCCAATTCGACCTTCCTGTCAGTCTGCGAGTGCACCATTGCCCTTCTCGCTTCTTATGAATTTATCTAATGATAGTTTTATTATGTATCTGTTAAGTGTATCTGTTCATTATTTTTGGTGTGACCTGTACTTAGCCCAGTGTGGGAAAAATGACAATAAAGGTTGTTATTCGTCATTCTTATGTCGCTAATGTATTCAAATAGCTACGAACACAGGCATATTCGTGTACACTTAGAACAATACCTCCGCGTACGAAGGTAATGATTTATCACATTGGCTTCAGTCCAGAGACCGAAGAAGCCATTCTACCGCCGTGCGGCACCAGAAGGATGAATCTTACTTAACCGGTGATAACACAAAGCTCGCGGACGGGAACGTCCCTTGAGACGTGTTATCTGAGTCATTACACAGCGGGTTACATAAGACAGGGGTCTTACCCTTTTAAAACTTTAAGACGTTTGGTTTCACCGTGTGTACAAAACTGCTTTTCGTGAATTTAGCTTTGGATTCTTAAGTTTTGAGTGCCAAACAATTGAATGAACTTAATTGCTCAACAGTTTGTACCTGTACAATTATTGTGCAATAAAGCTATTATTGCTCAACATTTGTATAGTGTATAATTTATGACAGTGACAAAGCAATAAATACAATAATTCTAGTCTATTCTAAAAACTATAATTGCAGAAATATGGACGTAAATGGCGAATTTACATAATGTTCGTTAAAGGTTTCTGTCCGTTACAATAGTTTCTCTCTTTTGTAAAGCGCTATATATATATATATATATATATATATATTGTCCTAAGTACGTAGATATGTAGTCGGGACATGACATGATTAGGTTGAAAATAATTGTTTTTGGCAAGGAATGGCAATAAAATAGCAGCCAATGCGAAGCAAGGAAGCCTCACCTAGAAAAAAAACTAGTAATTTTCTATCAAAAAACAGAATACCTGATTGCGTCTCGGAGAGGGAAGCTGGAGAGGCATCGGGGTAAGTGGGGTACTTTCTGTAAGGCTTATTTATAGATACATGTATTACTTTTACTTTATGTATAGGTATTAGAGTTTAGGGAGGCTCTATGTTTATGTCAATGTTTGCGTGAATGAATTGAAAAAAAAGGAAGCCTCACCTTCTCCTCCGGCTGACTTGAGTGCCGGTACCCAGAATTCCTCTGCCAGCGGCGTTCCTGACGACTCTGAGGAGCTGGGGTGAGACTTGAGGGACGTCCGGCTGGGCGAGATGGTCACCGGGCCGCGGGCATGCTGGGGACGAGAGGAAGGCCGTTAGTGTGGGCCTTCTGGGAACGAGTCTGTTAGTTAGGGCCTTCTGGGAACGAGTCTGTTAGTTAGGGCCTTCTGGGAACGGGAAGGAGTCTGTTAATTTCGGCTATCCAAAAGGGCGCCAACGTCGAGAATGGTCAGAAGACGTTGTAGGCAAATATTTATGTAGAAATCTGTGATAGTATGTAACGTCCATATCAATGTTAGAATCGAAAATCCCTATTGTTCTTAGTGTTTCTGACACGAATTTCTTAAAAAAAATGTTATTTATGAATATGACTGCAATAAATTTGACTATAATACCTTTATTGTTCTACAAATGTATGAGACTCAACGCATGTCACTTTCTATCGCGTAAAAATAACTGTGTTCCGAATTGAAAGCTTTTCCTTGCACGGCCTCGGCGTCAGTCTCAACATCTGTGTTGGATGACGTGTCAAGGCGCTGTAGCCGCGGCAATCTGTGGTTTCAACCCCCCGCTTCACTCCGTCTGAAGTTTGTCGGCACGTCCCAACTCACGTGAAGGTCACCACATCCGTCACCACCAAACCGCCAGCACAGACGGGAAATAAATCGGCGGCGGCGCGGTGCGTGGGAGGACGGTCTAACCTTACGAGACCGGGGTGGTGGGCGGGAAATTGCGCCAGGGACGCCAGGGTGAACCACCGGGCCATTGGGCACAAATTAAACCAAGAAATTGGAGATTTTAGACAGCCGAGAAGAACTGGAGGGTCCCTTGCGCAATCCTCGGCTTCCTGAATTCCTGCTGGCTCCCGGCCAGAGCATTTCCTGTATCTGACCTTTTGGCCTCATGTCATTCTGCCTGTCAATCTTCCTACCCCCCACATGCTGCAAACCTGCTATGTCTGGACAAAATGCACCACCCAAAACAATACTTCCGCACACGGAAGTAATGAAGAAGAAAATACTATCCTTCTTGTAAGGATAGTATGACTATTGCTTGATAGTTTACTTGTCTAGAATCAACCGTAACTGCCAACAGTTCTTGATTTGAAATGCTAAAGAAGTCACCAACCCTGTAAACAATAGATTTACACGTAGGATGACTAGTTCAGTACCGTGGACAGGGCAGCCCCTCTGTTGCGTCAGAAACTTTGGCTACTGGCGATTAACAACCTAGGGGATTAATCTTTTCTTTACTAAATTTGAGGAACTCAAAGACATTCATCCCATGTCTAGTATAATATGTTAACCCAGTCTTTTACATACCTCGGAGTTACCTATTCCACAAGCCCTGTACATGGTAACTAAGATTATTTTACTAATTAAGACACAGCTCTGAGGCTTGATGAATCAGTTTAAAAACAGCTTCAATAGATAGATTTCATAATCAAAGATGTCGCATATAGACTTTCACAGATAACAAAATTTCCTATCAAGGTTTTGGCAACCCTGGCTAGATTTACCACTGGTACATACAGTAGCAATCATACAGTGACTTTTAAGGACCCTGATACACAGCGGTAAGTCTAATAAGTCTTGGTGGACTTGGAATTGTTCCCTTATGTGGTATCCTCACAAGAAAGTTCATTCTTTTTTCGTCATAATGAGGCTCTGTGGCTTTATCTTTACTTCGGTGGTAATCCTGGTCTAGAACTTGTTCAGTTCAATGTTTAACAGAATCCAAGAGTTATGGTCGCACTTTACAACTTGATCCTGTTACGACCGATTACGACTGTCCATGCAGACAGCATGACCGCTAAAAGGACTTTAGACTGTCATTTTCTTTTTATTTACTTCATGATTCACCACGAAATAAGGCTCATGAGAGCCACTCAGAATGTTTTGGGTTACTGTACAGACAGTGAGGACAGATGTTTGTTGACCTTAGACTTGAAAAGTTTAAGGTTATACCCATATGGGAAACAATCACGTGGTAGCTTGTTCCATAGTGATGTTGTCTAGGAAAGAAACTTTCAGTATGGAACTTCCTCCTAAGAGATGGTGAATGGAGGAAGAAAGGGTGAGTTGCTTCAGTGGAAGTGGTGCTTGCAAGACGTGTCCGCCTTGCTGAGAATGTTCGAAGTGGGGGCACTAGCGAGTGAAGTTCCACGGAGCATACCGTGGAAATAGCGATAACACACCAGTCTGTCACTGGTGTGTTACAGACTGGGTGGTTATACTGGGGATCGTTAAGACTGATAGAAGTTATACCATTCCCTGCGGCGTTTTTCCCATCTGGAAAGAAGCCATTTCAAAGTAGAAAGAAGATCCCAAAGTAAGGTCTGCAATTTTACAGTGACTTAACGGCTGGTATGTAAACAGTTGGGCCGTTAACTCGGACGGTTTGATGGACCTTATATTGTTCCCTGTGGTGATATTCCAATTGAAGAGGTCATTTATTTTAATGAGGACAGGGTATTTTATCGTGTAATAAAGCTTTAAACTGGACAAGCGTTTAGAGTCGTAGATTCTGGCTGTTGTTATCTGTAGACGTAGAATCAAAGCAAGTTTCTGTAGTGTCTCTTATCAATCTTCGCCACCTTGTCTGCACGAAGTCGCTCGGAGCGTTTTGATGATAAATCAAATATTTTGAACTGTTTGAACACAAGATGGATCGGGAGAGGGAATGCGTTGCATAACCTGTACATAGCATCGAGGTGGCAAGGTAGTCTTGTGGTTAGTTATAGGGTTGTCCTGGGTCTGTATCCCTTTCAGGCCTCAGTGTTGTAACCTTTGGAAAGGCACTTTACAGTGACTCAAACTCACTTGACTCAGGTGCTTGCGTTAAAGATCCCACCACACCTATCGAAAAGAGCAGGAGTCCTTCCCGGTGTGAGTGGTTCAAACCTTACAGTCTGGTCTAGCTTGACATCTTAAAAAGGTATCAATCTTCATGGCAAATCTTAATAAGGAAAGAAAGAAAACATTCGTATACTACTATACGCAAACAAGGGTACACAAACATATGCATAAAGAATATCTTTTTCCTGTTTACTTTTCAGAGACTTTTCAAGACCCTAGCGAGTTCACTTACAGTGAACGTGAGCCTGACACCGCTCTGATTTCAGGATGGATGGCGGTTACATCTGAGGGGTCCCCGGCAGGTCAACATTCGTTCTGCTCGAAACAGCAAAATCAATACATAACCGCGAAGGCCGTTCAGTACCAAGGACGGGGGCGGTTGGGAAAAACTACCGATTAATTGTGCAACTTTCTGTGTTCATTCAATTTTACGTCTGGAAGGAGGCTCAGCTGCAGTGAAAAATCGAGGTACTAAACAAATGTACCGCAAACTGGAATGCACGATTATCCTCTAAGAGATAGGGAACTGGGTTTCTGCCTTCTTTTCCATGATAAATATTCTTTGCATTACTAGCCACTGCCTTGTACAATTTTGACATGGTCGTTGTGAGAACACAAAATGACACTACACATTTCATGAACGTAAACTAGCCCCGAGTTTGTTGAACTTGCATGGATTGTTTCGGCTATCTGGAGACGTTTCATGTGTTTTTACCGACCGTATAACGCATACAGACGGCGTGTGGAACACGGGCGTGTAATGGTGATTTCACGGGGATTCAAACACAACTAGAAAGGTAGCATTTGCAAAGCAAATGCATAATGTTTACCTTCGCATATGGTCTGCTCTGTTACTCAAACACATTCATGTATATGGTGACAGGAGTTTAAATCCCTCCTGCTATGAAATTGCAACATGAGGTAACTCAACACTAGTTACCATGGTGACAGACGTCTGGTTCAGGTCATTGACCGTATTTGTTTGGAGAAGAAGAAGAGGAAGAAGAAACAGAGCAAAAATAATACGTTTTACGTCTGCGAAGGTAAACATAACAAGATACAAAAACCGTTCGTTCTTCTTCAGTACCAAGGCGGGTCTTCAGGAGTTTAAAATCTAAATATTTCTAGCTATGATACCAAATTTCCTTTACAATTATCCATATCTTTTTGAGTCGTACTGTTCAACAACCACAAGCATCATTACAAAACCCAATTTTTTTTGGGTGAAATATCTGCTTTAGGCATACACTAACAAGACCTACGAACGTTTTGATTGCTGTGATCTGTAGATTGTCTTGATATTTTAATGATTCTAATGATGGATTTTGAATACTAAATGTCACGTTTATGTCTGTAGAGCACCGTTGATATGGGTAATAAAACCCAGGAGTCTTATATCATGGAATTAGTTTTAGGCTTGAGTCGTAAATCGCAAATCATTATTGCATTGCGGAGCATGATAATGATGGTAAAATCTCTTAGCTTACGGCTGATGATATGTCATGATAGTACTTCAATGGACGCTAGAAGAATGTAAGATAAGCAAGGCCGCACAGAATACATGTATTATGATGTTAAGAACTTCTATCTCAGGTAAATGTAGTATACAATGTACATTAACAATTATTTAGAACTCTAACACTTTAATTACCTAGAAACATTTTTAAACAAGTATTAACAGAATTTGTGAAGGGTTTCTGGTATATTTTGAGAAATTCTACTTCGCACCTTGTCGTCAGTATCTTATTTTGTGATAGAGATATGGCCGGTAAAGTCGTTACCAAGTCAATTGTACTTTGACAAAATAAATACTTGTCTTCCATTATACCCACTTTCAAAACTATCTGCGCTAAAAATGTATTACTTGGCGTAGAAGCCCCGTCGTCACCCCGTAAGTCAGCCGTATGTTGGATGTATTCCCAGGGACATTACCCTCCCACAGGGCCAGACAAGATCTGTCACGTTCGTACCTGACAGGCTACTCCGTCACGGGAGGGGCACCTGTCGTACTGAATCTGTGAAGGGTTTCTAGTACATTTTGTGAAATGGTGCTTCGTATCTTGATTCTTGTCTCATAATATTTTATTTTGTAATTTTTTGCCTACCGGTAAAATCGTTACCAAGTCAGTCGTATTTTGACTGAAATAAATACTTGTCTTCCATAGCTACTTTCAAAACTGTCTGTGCAAAACAAAACTTCTAGCAAATGTATTACTCGGTGTAGAAGCCCCGTCTTCACCCCGTAAGTCAGCCGTATGTTGGATCTATTCCCAGGGACATTACCCTCCCACAGGGCCAGACAACACCAGTCACGCTCGTACCTGACAGGGCTGTACCATCACGGCAGGGGCACCTGTCGTACAGAATCTGTGAAGGTTTTCTAATACATTTTGTGAAATGGTGCTTCGTATCTTGTCTCATGATATTTTATTTTGTAATTTTTTGCCAGCCGGTAAAATCGTTACCAAGTCAGTCGTATTTTGACTGAAACAAATACTTGTCTTCCATTATACCTACTTTCAAAACTGTCTGTGCAAAACAAAACTTCTAGCAAATTTATTACTCGGTGTAGAAGCCCCGTCGTCACCCCGTAAGTCAGCCGTATGTTGGATGTATTCCCAGGGACATTACCCTCCCACAGGGCCAGACAAGATCTGTCACACTCGTACCTGACAGGCTACACCGTCACGGGAGGGGCACCTGTCGTACAGAATCTGTGAAGGGTTTCTAGTGCATTTTGTGAAATGGTGCTTCGTATCTTATCTCATAATATTTTATTTTGTAATTTTTTTTGCCAGCCTTTAAAATCGTTACCAAGTCAGTCGTATTTTGACTAAAAAAATACTTGTCTTCCTTAGCTACTTTCAAAACTTTCTGCCGTCCAAAAAAGAAAACTTCGATCCCAGCAAATTTATTACTTGGCGTAGAAGCCCCGTCTTCACCCCGTAAGTCAGCCGTATGTTGGATGTATTCCCAGGGACATTACCCTCCCACAGGGCCAGACAACATCAGTCACACTCGTACCTGACAGGCTACACCGTCACGGGAGGGGCACCTGTCGTACAGCGGGCGGCAGGATCCCCGCTGTGACGCCGGAATAATTAGACTTGTTACCCGGAGAGGGAGAACTCTAGATGATTCTGAAACGATAGAGCCTTCTCCCAGGGTGGTTGATCTATATCACTATCGCGAAGACGCGAAATTGCTCTGGGCATCCCGACATCTGAATCTATGCATTATTTAATGAGACTTGGGAGGGAAAATGAAGAGATGTAGCAAGAGACATCTTGTCAAAGATGGATATCTCCTGCTGTACGATTGAAACTCTAATAAAACAGGGATATAGAGATGGATGGTGGCTTCACGCACGGATCTTAGAGTAAACTTACAGCATGTTTCAGTTACATGAACCCTAGTTGGAGCTGCCCTCGCACAGTAAAGTTTGCGACGGTCGATTTTATCAGTAGTTTCTGTAACCGTTTTCCTGTCGCCTTGCCCCAAAATACAGCCAAATGCAACATGTGGTATGCATATATCTGTAAGCCTCTGACTAAGATGGCCAAAGACTAACCGGATAAGTTTTCAGTCTCAAGTGAAGTTGTTTTCAGCACCAACGTTGTTTCAGAGTGGCTGTCAAGCTACACAAAGCGCTACACGAAAAAGATAACACGTAACGCCGTGTGTGTAGAATCCCTTGCTATATTCCCGGGAGATGGGATGAAAATACGTGTAAGTGGTCCGCGTAGTGTGATTAGTCAGGAATTCAGCACCAAGGACAGGGCCTGACGTTGTTTCAGTGTGGCTGCCAAGCTATAGCTACACAAATTTTAAAGCGCTACACGAAAAAAGGTGATAACATAAGATAAAACGTAACGCCGTGTGTGTAGAATCTCCTGATATTCCTTGCGGATAGCGTGATCATATAGCGTAGCGTGGTAAACCAGGTCGCCATAAGTTGTGGATTCAGCACCAAGGACAGGTCCAACGTGGTTTCAGTGAGGAAATCAAACTACACAAAGCGCTACACGAAAAAAGGTGAGCTATAGCTACACAAAGCCCTATATACACGAAAAAGGTGATAACATAAGATAAAACATAACGCCGTGTGTATAGAATCCCCTGAAGATAGCGGGGTAATACTTGTAAGTGATCCGTAGCATGATAAGTCAGGTAGCCATAAGTTGTGGATTCAGCACCAAGGACAGGACCTAACGTTGTTTCAGAGTGGCTATCAAGCTGCACAAAGTGCTACACGAAAAAGGTGATCACATAAGATAAAATATAACGCCGTGTGTGTAGAATCCCCTGAAGATAGCGTGGTAATACGTGTAAGTGATCCGTATCGTGATGAACCAGGTCGCGCGGGACGTGCGGTGTCGTGTTGCCGCGCCCGTCTGCGGCAGGATCCCCGCTATCAACAGGTCTTTGCACCGACCCGCTAATTAGAAGCACGGCTGATGCGACCAGACATGGCGGTAAGGCTTAATGATGCGCGCCGCATGAATCCACATGCGCACCGCGCTCAGCTGCGCACAGTCACGAACTTTTCAACGCCTACCCTTTCTGTAATCTCCAAGCAGATCCTAGGGTAGCAACGTTAACGTCAGTATCAAATCGGCCAGTCAGTGTCCATTCGCCAGAGAGGGTCCATACGCTACCCAAGGGCGTAAGGCGTTGATACTGTCTTTTGCCACCCTAGGATCTGCTCTAAGATTACTCTTTCTGTAGTCTGGGTGCCACCCGATTTGTAACGGCAACCCCGAAAAATGTTTTTTTTTTCAAAAATGATTTGCCGTTACAAATCGGATGGTACCTTGGCTACTCTTCCTGTAATGTACAGAAAAATTTAAAAAAACTTGGTGCAAAATATCTACAAGAAAAGCTAAGAGGTAATAAGTGAGACTTTCCTACCTTCACCGATGTGTATTGCCGGAGTCTCCGCCTTTTTAAGTAGATGCAGAGCAAGGCGACGGCTATGCAGAGCAGGATGAGCGGCAGCGCCACGTACACTGCCACCTTCCATCCTGCCACCATGTTTACCCGGGCGCACTGTTCTGTAGAAACACACGTACAGAGAAATCACGTTATGCAGGGGAGAACCATTTCATCTCAGAAGGGAGGAGTGGGAACGAAAAGGGATGGATCATTATGTGAGGGGGTCCTATGTAAGCTCCTTGCAAACATAAATGCATTTTGAGTGTAACAGTTCGTTCAGTGTGATATATGCTAGATAGCTGCCGCCGCGCCGCGAGCATGCGAAGCTGATGTGTTACGCCGAAGGGCGGTTCTACTGACTATACAGATACAGATAAATCATTTTGTACATGAGCGCCTAATAGTACTTAGGAGATCTTGCAGGTACACATGAGAACCATATTTGTTCTGAGAATTAAAAGCTTCTCCGGTAACGTTGGAGGATTTGCCGTAATGTCCCTTGTGACGCCATAGATCAGGTAGCGAAAAACGCTTGCTGACGCAAATTACAAATCACCACGAACAACAAGATGCGGCATTTCAAGACAAGCAACAGCACTTCTTCAGTGAGCACATCCGGGTTCTCTGACGTCTCATCCGGATACTTCTAGAGATCTTGTCACTCAAGTCTCCTCAACCGTGCAATTACCTTAATGAGAAACACGTGTACAATATCTTCTTCATCTATCTAAAATAACAGTTTGTTTTCTGAAGCCTGGAGTTTAATGTCGTTAATTAGCAAGTACATGGCGTTCTGTAATGATGAAACACAAGGGAGGTGCGGAGATGTTACGGTTGATCGATGCTGACAGTGTTTGTACAAGCTGCGATATGGTGACAACCCGGGAGATAAAAAACAACTTACAACACGGTACAGGTTATATCAGGTCATGCCGCGTGCTATCATGTTTAGTTAGATATATGCATAACAGTAACATGGCCTGATACATTACCCAGTGAGAAGAGTAGTATTAGGTGTGATTGTTTGTTTATTTGTGTGAACCCTTCATTAATGAGAGGCTCAAATCGACCCAAGGGCCGTTTGTTTATTTGGATTTTTCACAGAGTGAAAGGGAGGGAAAACAGGTCCATACGCCCCTTTTCAGGTTGCCCTCCCCCATACAAAAACACAACAACGTTAACAAAATATACATAATCAAAATCAGCAATATATAAAAAATACACAAAACAGGCGATAAATTAGTCAAGTTACGCATAATTCAAATACATCTAGAAATAGAATAACTCATAAGGGAAGAGGTAAGGGTCAGACAAAATATATAACAAAGATGACCGTACAGTTTACATCACTTTATAAGTCCTAAACATCATCTTAAGTCCTAAACTGCATGTGACTCCCTCCTCCTATCTTAAGTGGGTCCGTCCCCACGGTAATGTAACAATTAGTATGGTAACAGCACAGGCCTGGTAACATCAGATCAGAATCGGCGGCCCCAGGGGCAGAACTTGCCGCCGTGTCTGACAGGTCGCACCGCTCTCTGGAGAGGGATGCCAACTGTTGAACAGCAGGTCATGTTTACCAATATTGGGCTAGCTTTACCCTAGTGATTTTCGAGAATTATTTAGTAAGTATGACTTATTTCAGATATTGCAACAGAGACTACGATGAAAGAAATGTTGATAAGATGAACCGACAATGTTCGATAATTTATGATGGATGATTCGATAATAAAACAACTTTGCAAAGACAAAACTAGCTAATTGTTGAGCGAGGAAAACATCCGTGGCTTACGTCTTCAGCATATTGATATACAAGTAAGTTAAATGTTTGAGTGTCACTGCCATTGTTTTTTGTACTTCCTAAGTTAGAATTGGTATACTCTTGCCAAAACAGGCATTTTGGAAAAGAGCCAGTATAAACAGTTACTTATGACAGAATCCAATTTCAGAAAAGCCATAAAAGATAAACAACACATTTAATTACCTAGACAAAAGCGTTTGAAACAACGGTTGCCTGTATGAATGCCCTACAGTAATTACATGTGTAGACGTACTGATATGATTTCATATCTATGTAAATTCGTCTTATCTATGTCTCACATGCGAATACTTCTTAATTGCATGGTAGTCGTGCCTACGCATAGCAAATACAGTTGTCCTATATGACGTGATTTCTCATGATAACAGTGATACTAAACAGTAGCGGAAACACAATTGTCAACCCACGACTGACAGTCAACGTTCGCCCTATCAAGCAACCATTCACCACATTGAGTTCATTGCAATATCGACATTTCAACCATGTTAACGGTTTTACAGTTCGGTTTCAAGCGGATCGCGATCGTCTTTTCTTCTTTTATATATCTCTGCAAACATTGTACATTTCTTCAAGCATTTATCTCATATTTTACGATTAACCCATATTGTTATATTACTTATAATTGGTTAGCATTTCTTCATCAGTCTACATCTAATGCAAGAAACAACACTGTGGCTATGTTGCCAGTCCTTGAAGCTTACTGATAAGCTTCTGTCTTTTCAACCCTCTTGACCTGTACCTGCCATGATGATGATTCCCAGTGGAGATGATTACCGGTGACACCAGAACCCCTTCTCTACCCTCAGCTAATGGCCCTTCCTAACGGTGACAAATCACTAATTAGGACGACACGAAAACCCCTGGGGACGCCTTCCTAGTTTCAGGACTAACATCTTCGAAATTAGGATCACAAATCGATAGAAAATCCGGGAAAGTCTAATTGTTGAGCAACGAAAACATCCATGGCGTAAGATGCTGGATTACATCTCTTAAGTCGTTGATGGCTTGATAGTTGATAGCAAAAGTTGTCAAGAGTTAGTCCTATATTTTTATCGATTGATCATTAAAACATTTCACTTAACGGGACAACAAAACTAACGGGACAGCGACACAACAACGATTTATCGATACTAGTACAATGTAGTAAATGGTAGCACATCATTCTGTGGTGTCAAGATATTGATATGCTGGAAACATGGTCTATATCACTGATTCTGTTACAAATGTACAACGTCAAAGAAGAGCTATAGTTTATTATGATAAACAACCATGTTTCCCTCTCAAAATCCACAGGTGCTTGTTTCGTCAATTCCAGCCATGTTCCAACCAACCTTTTACTAAAGGTAGCATCTATCACCATATGAACCACCAGTACTTCTCCACTACTAAAACGAGATGTATCGAAGGCGATTACTATAGGATTAGCCCGGGGTAATGTAACCCTACTTACAGAACGATTTCTCTCCGCTATCGACCCTGTACATCCACACCCGATAGTTCTGTCATCAAATCTCAGTCTCGCCAGCTCGCTCGATCACACCAGCACGCGGTCACAGCCGGCCCGTAACTGCCGCCAGCGCCGCTCAAGCGCAACCTTTAATGTACGAAACCCAATTACGAACACAATAAACCGTCAAGTGAGCCCGGCGCCACTCCGGTGTAACCCATTTTCTCCGTCGGACCAATGTCACACGCGTTTTGTCTGATGGGGTGTCCCTCGTTTAAGGTCAGATTTAGAACGAAAGAAGCAAGACATAATCAGATGGCGGTCTGCCACTAGTGCCAGAGTGGAACTGCTGCATAACCATAAGTAGACTGTCCGTTGAATAGTTTTTTTGGCCAAATAACAATAGCAAGCTGGTGCAGGCCTCGACTCTCAAGAAGAGGATGGGACAAGTACTAGAGAATGTTACATTAGTTTTCTAATCATTAATAAAGCGCAAACTCCGAATCATGTTTGTTTACCTTGCAGCTGAAGGGTTCTACCGCCGGACCCACCGTTTACGTCAGTTCCCTCCACATATCTGACGATTTTCCGCTTTCCCTCCGCCCACAAGACACTCCATCTCTCAGGTTAACCTCTCTGACTTCCAGGAATCTTTCAAACTGGGCAAACAAGGTAATCCTGACTCTGCGCACGCACCCGGGGCAATCACGTGACGTTCACATCATGAGTTGCGCTTGGAGTGCTTTTTCTGGAAGTCACGCACGTTACAATAAACTCCAGCAAAGCGGAACCCTGCAAAATTACACGCTCCTGTACCTGTCTCGGTTCATCTTAGATGCGGCTCTGGCTCATTGACAGTGACATTTGCACTATACTACACATACTGCATGTTCTCGGTATATGCCTGCGCAAACCTCAACACCATATAGTTAACAATTACGGAAGCCTTAGAAAGGTAGACGAAAAATATGACCATTATCAGTCAGAAAGTCGAAGATATAATGCCAACCTTGAGGTGATCATGAAAAAAACACGACAAGGCGGCAATGGAATCAACCTGTATGTTACTCGTCGCATTTTACTCTTTTACCATGCACCATGCTACTTCCAGCTAGGTTAGACGTGTACGTGTAGAAGTCTGAACACTTGATGAAAGCCCCCATAACTTCCAGAATCGCTGCCTAAGAGTTACAGGCATAGTTCTGACCTGTTGAAATTATCAGGGTAGGGCGTGAAATGCCGTGTAAGGTCTGTGGCCTCACATCAGACCCTGCCGAGCCGCGCAGTGTGCGGAATAACGCGATTTGTAGGCAGGTCAGTATGGCGGAGTGACCTGACGAAGTGGCGGCGGTGAAGGCCAGTCACGGTTTGCCCACATCACTGCTCTCTCTCCGCGGTACGGAATAACCCCACGGCGTGCCGGGGACAGATAAGCACGCCGACATCGCGGAGAGTTAGTTCTGCCTCGTTGCTGCACAAATTAGGGTCGACCACTCCAGAGGTTTTTACTGATTTACACATTCTTGGGTCACCTCAGGTAGACCTGCGGCTATACCGCTATCTGTTCCGGAATGACAAGCGGGCGAAAACAACATTTAATCGATTCATCATCGAGGTTTTTGAGCAGAATGTTTCTTCAACGATTACTCTCTCAATTTGCCCCCTCCCCACTCTCCGTTTATACACTGGCGCACTGCATGCAGTTGATATTACAAGTTAGAAGTTCCCGGAAGAATTGGCCAGTCTGTAAGTTCATTATAAACCAAGGCCTGCTGACTCTTCTGTCCACAATGACTGATTTCCCCCTAAAATAGCATCAAAACCTGAAAGCCTTCACCTAATTTCTCTGTAGC